GACAATTTGACGTTTGATTCACGCATAACGTCAAATTGTCGGGGATAATACCACGAGAGCTTCAAAATTACTTACCGATAATTTTTCACGATTGCGTGTTTTCTATAATTTCACGAGTCCGTAGGACGAGTGAAATTTGCAGAGAAAACACGCATGAGTGAAAAATTATCTGGTTCATTTTAAAGCTCAAGTGGTATTTAGATCACCGGATCCACAGATTAGATCACCGGATCCACAACTTTAGGTTTAAGTGAAGATATGCCCTCGCAAACTTTTTTAGAGAAAATCCAAAACGAAGCTCAACAGAGTTCTTAACATCTTCAGAACTTAGATTGTTAGTTCTAAACATACAGTCACTGAGAAATAAAACTAATGAGTTTGATGCTTGTCTTGAAACTGAGAATAAGCCACATGTCCTGTTACTGACAGAGCATTGGCTAAGGGATGGTGAACCTTGTAATATAGTTAATTATAGTGCGTTAAGTTCATATTGTAGAAAAACTTCTGTCCATGGGGGTACAATCATTTTAGTGAGAGATGATGTTGCAGGGGGCTTTCCCTTGGCCAATGTGACAAAACATGAGCACCTGATTAAGGAAGGTGTATTTGAATTCTCCTTGGTTTTTAATTGTATAAATGATTTGTACATAGTCTGCGTCTACCGGCCTCCCAAGGGTGATATTGTTGACTTTTTGGAGAGATTGGAATCTCTGCTCACATGTTTTTCACTGAACTCAAGAGTGATATTGGCGGGTGATCTTAATATTAACTATAATGAAGTGGGTTCAGCATGTGTTCAAAACCTGGTAAATTTATTTAGTTCTTTTAATATCAGTATGCTGGTTAATGAACCAACTCGTATCACAAGTACTTCCCAGACTCTTATAGATTATTTCTGTGTTAATTTTATGAATAACATTGACTTTGATGTTGCTGTAATACATAGCTGTAATACCCTCTGGTCTCTCAGATCATGAAGCCATTTTGGCTAGCATTTCACTAAAGCACAAAAAATCAAAAACTGTTAAATGTGGCCGAATTTACAGCACAAGAAATTTTAAAACGTTTATTTCATCGGCTGCTGCTTACGAATGGAATTCTATCCTGGATGGTTCTGATCCTCTAGATAAATTCTATAAGAGCCTAATAGAACTATTTGAGGAAGCTTTCCCTCTAAGAAAGATAAAATATAAAAATAAAAAACCTTGGATTACAAGAGGAATTAAAACATCATCCAAAAACTTAAGATTTCTGCATACACTGAGAAAGTTTGCTCCATTCAATGCCTTCGTGAGCAGTTATTTTAACAGATACAGAACGATTTACAGACAAATTATTAAAGAGGCCAAACGAATTCATTATGAAGGTAGGTTGAATGAAGCATCAAATAGACTAGACCTAGAGAAGTGTGGAAAATTATTCATGAACTCACGGGAACTTCCTCTTCGCGTTCAAATCATGTGGATATTGAGCCAAATATATTAAATAAATATTACTGCAATGTGGCACAAGGCCTAATGGATGAATTACGTTCTCATGTGAGTCCTTATCATTTTCTAAAACATTCTGTTTTGGAAACTTTTCGACTTTATCATACCGATCCAATAGAATTAAAAGCAACATTCCGAGAAATAAAAAATAAAAATTCTGCTGGCATCGATGAAATGGCTTTAAAAATATTTGAATGCATGCCAGATAACGCCATAAATTGCTTGTGTTTGGCTATTTATAATTCGTTTGACACTGGAGTTTTTCCAACTTCTTTGAGGACAAGCATTATCAGACCTATCTTTAAAGGTGGTGATGCCGAGGATCCCTCATGCTATCGCCCTATATCTCTGCTCCCGTCCCTATCTAAAATATTAGAGAAACTGGTTAAATCCAGAATGATCGCATTTTTAAACAGACATAAAATACTTATTGATTGCCAATTTGGGTTCCAAGCTAAAATGAATGCATGTGATGCGATTTTTAATTTTCTGGAGTCACTCTTTCTGGGTCTGAATAGTGGTGATGTTGCTGCAGCAGTCTTTTGCGATTTCTCGAAAGCATTCGACTGTGTTAATCGCGAACTACTGCTGGGGAAATTTTACCATTACGGCTTTAGAGGGGTGGCGCTTGGTTGGCTTGAATCATTCCTTAACAATAGGGAGCAGATTGTCAGGTGTCAGGATAAAAACTCAGTGGCTCTTATTAATCCTCACGGAGTGCCCCAAGGTTCAGTATTGGGACCCCTACTCTTCCTTCTGTACATAAATGACCTGACTGGCGTGGATATTGATGGAAAGTTGACCTTATTTGCTGATGACACCACTATTTTATGGATTGAACCCACAGATCTTGCAAAATAAAATCCAGAATGATATCATGAAGGTGAAAGAGTGGTGTGATACAAATTGCTTGACATTTAATATAAAAAATTAATAAAAGGCTGTCTGCAGGTTGTTATGCAATAAGGGTGATAAGCAAACAGGTGAATCATTCCATGGCAAGATCATTGTACTTTTCCGTAATTGAGTCAAATATAAGCTACGGAATTCCATTCTGGGGATTTGCTAACAAACAACTTGTGCAGTCAGCTTTTGTACTTCAGAAGAGAGCACTCAGGTATCTTTGTGGTTTAAATTTTAGGGAACATTGTAGGGAACATTTCAGAAGGGAAGGGATACTGACTGTAGCATGTCTTTTTATATTGGAAACAGTTACCCTAATACCTACATAGGAAGTATGCTGATGTTTCAAATGAAAATGTTCACAATACCCGGCGTGGCAATGAATTGCGCCTGCCTATAGCAAGATCAACGCTCACCAAACAGTCAATAGTGTATGGGGGTTTAAAGTTGTATAATCACTTGCCTGTTTTAAAAAATTCAGGGTGGCAGTGAAAAGGCTTTTCCAATCTAAGGCATATTATTCGGTGGACGAATTTTACCACGAGAAATTTTGATCTGTTTGTTTGTACAATTCAGCAAGACTTGCTTTTGTGACTTTTAATTTGTTTGTTATTCCACTTTGTTGGTCCGTTTGTTCTTTTTATTTTCTTTTGTTAATCTAATAAGCTTTGTGTAAGTGCTTTTGTAACCAGTTTTATTTTTTATATTTTAACCAATGATTTCAACAAAATTTGTATTCATTTTCTTTTCAGTATTTTTAATTACCTATCTTATAGTATTGAGACATTTTGTAGTTTTGAATTATGTTATAATTATCTTATAATTTGTAGTCATATGTTCATTAATTTTATTTTACTAATTTAGTTTATAGTTTTTGTATTTATATATATATTTTTTTCTCTTTGTTTTTTTATTTTATTCTATTTTATTCTATTTATAGGAGCTTTGTTAACAACATTTCATGTTTCATAACAATAAAGCATTATTTGATTTGATTTGATTTGATTTAGAGGATTATTCCACTCATGTGTTAGAAATCCCATAAGATAAGTGACGATTTTCTGAATTTCAGCGAAAATTCATTCTCTTTTCCATTTGTTTAACTAGAGAGAATTTCAACGATAATTCTCCCATGTTATTGTATACACGGTTCTCATGCTAATTTTTGATACAAACAAACGGTTCCTGATAGCAACCATTTATTTGCATTGATTGTTAAGATGTTCAAATCGTTTAATACATAATTATTTCCATATTTTTTAACAATCAATGCAAATGAATGGTTGCTATCAGGAACCGTTTGTTTGTATCAAAAATTAGCATGACAACCATGTATAAAATAACATGAGAGAATTATCGCTGTAATTCTCTCTAGTTAAACAAATGGAAAAGAGAATTTTCGTTGACATTCTGAAAATCGTCACTTGTCTTATGGGATTTCTAACACGAGTGGAATAATCGAAGTAATTTCAAAAAAGGGCGAATTATGCTGTTATGAGTACTAGGCTTGATACTCTGGATGATCTCGTAAATGACGTAAATCGCAAATCGCAAATGTAGAGATGGCGTTAGCATAGACTTTCGCTGTACGTTTGCTGTACAAAATCAAATGCTGGACAGATTTTCAAAATACTGTAAAATACAGCGAAATGCTGTACGTATGGTCACCCTATCCTTGGGCATCCTAAACCCGATACTGTTTATAATTTTTCAACAACACGTTTGAAAATGCACGTCCGTATTTAAAAATAAATAAATTGATGATGATTCCGGAGGAACGAAACGTTAGATTTCAAATTTAATACCGCCATCTTGTAGAGAAGAAAAAGACAATGGGAATGTGAAATTAGTTTTTCATAATTTTTTTAAATGGAATCAGGAAAAAATTTAAGAAAAACGAGAAATTCATGTTTTTTTCGTATAGTTTCCATTTTTTCCTGATTTTATTTAAAAATATTTCGAAAAACTAATTTCACATTCACATTGTCACTTTTTCTTCTCTACAAGATGGCGGCATTAAATTTAAAATCCAACGTTTCGTTCCTCTGGAATCATCACCAATTTTTTTTTTTTTAATACAACCTGCTTTTTTACTGTTTTATTGAAAAACTATAAACAGCATCGATTTTAGGATGCCCAAAGATGACGAAATCGCAAATAAAAAATCCAGGTCCGTATTTAAAAAAAGGAAGTTGAGGATGGCCGCTTGAAGACGAAACGTCAAATTTTAAATTTAGTAGCACCATCTTCTAAAGGGTAAAAAGTGACAATGATGAAGTGACATTTGACATTTATTTTGAAATTGCTCTTCAAATAAGCCCAGGAAAAAACAAAAACGACTTTACAAAATTTCGGTTTTTTCCAAATATCTCCAGAAGTCTTCGGAATCTTTCTAGTTTCAAAAGGGGATTCTATTGGTCATGCAATTGCGCAACTTTGCCATAATTGAACCGACCCCGTATCTCTTATGGTTACCGAGATCCCAATGATGAGGCTCGAATTTGGGCCACCCTGTACACTATTGGAGACTTTCTCTACCCAAAGAGCAACATTTATAGAGAAAAATTGCTCATTTTAAACTTAAAACAGATTAATGGAATAACAAAGGCGGGAGTAATTGAAACTACAATTTTGGTAATTTTTTAAAATATTTTATTGAAAGTCCTTAATCAAAAACTAAAGCTTCTCAGAGCTTGAGCTTAGTTCTACGCCAGTGACGCCTCTTGGCGTTGTATCTGAAACAAACAAAACAAATTAGGTAATTTCAAATAACAGTCAACATCAAGAAATGCAAAGGTGGGCACAGTTAATCGAAAAGTTAACTTCGTTAATCGTTAATTCGCTACTTGAAAAGTTAACTATGATAATCGATAAATTTTTGAGAATATAACGCAAGTTAAAGTTATCCGTTAAGAGTTAATCATCGAAAAGTTATACTGATGTTTGAAGCTAATTTTAAGCAATAAATAATTGAAATAGAATCGGCTGGGCTAGGGTATAGTATTTTTGATACCTAAGTATTTGGAAGTACCAGTTGTTTTAGTGATTTGTGATTAGTTGGTAATTTTTTGTTTCATCTGATTCATGATTGAAGAACAAGAATGGCGTTATTAGTGTTATTTCAAATGGGTAATAAAAATACTATACCTAGACTCCTACACAGGTGAATGTGAATAAAACAAAAAAGTATCTATACCTTTACAACTCCAAATTGAGACTTATCACAATCAAAATGAGATTAACAAAATCAAATTGAGACTTAAAACAATCAAATTGAGAACAATCAATTTCAAATTGGTACAACAGCCGTTTCCATGTAATTGAACGTTATACCAATTTAAAATTGATTGTTCTCAATTTGATTTTGTTTTATCTCAATATGATTGTGATAAGTCTCAATTTGAAGTTGTAAAGGTATAGATCCAAAAAGCGGCACTATTTCCAATTTTATTTATTTATTTATTAACGGCAAGGCCAATTTACAAAAACAATCGTAAAACAATTTACAATAAATAGTTTGATAATAACTAAATCTAAGCACTAACAATCACATCCTGTTCTTCCCCAAGTTAATACCTAACCAAAAAACATACGACTCATTTTTAAAAAACTAATCAGCAAGCAGCGGTTGCAATCTCCTCTTAAAGGCAGCAACAGAAGGACAACCAAAGATGTCAATACTCCGGCTCCTGGAGTTGGCAAACCTGAGCACCCTTCTCAATCTCAATCTCAAATAAGCTTTATTGTCTCAAAATACACATATTTCATTGACAAAGCAATTCTTATTACTAATAGGTAAGCAATTAAACTTTAAATCATGCAATACTTAAATAGACTAAACAAATAAAATAAAACAAAACAAATAAAATAGAATAAAATAAAATAAAATAAAGTAAAATAAAATAAAATAAAATAAAATAAAATAAAATAAAATAAAATAAAATAAAATAAAACAGAATAAAATAGCAAGTTCCCAAAAACAAATTAGAAACCCACATAGTGGCTGAAACCTTAAAGAAAGTATAGAACAAAAAATACCACATTTAAGATCAAGATATGCGCAGTAAAAGACGATCAATTCATCAAATAAACTCATCACGAACAGTGTTATTGGTTGAAGTTTAAACGAATTATGTTATTTACCAAGTTTTTCGGTTAAGATAATATTCAGTCAAGTTATAGAATGCTTTGGTTGCTAAAAATTTTTTAACTGTAGTGCGAAATAATTTGTAATTGTTAATTATTTTAATATCTTGCGGCAAGTGATTAAATATTTTGATGTTTTCATAAATTAATGATTTTTTTGTGAGTGTAGATTTTGGAATTGGCAAGTTATTGTGTCTAAAATTATAATTTCTTTCATAAGAATAACCAAAGATTTTTTTGTATACCAAGCAGACTGACTCCAATATAAAAATGCATGACACCGTTAGTATTTCCTCCTGCCTAAACAGGGACCTGCATGATTCTCTGTATCCTTTTTTGCACATACAACGAACAGCTCTTTTCTGTAGAACGAACACCGAATGTAACAGACTGTCTGTTGTGTTACTCCAGAAAGCTATCCCATACTGTATGTGTGCATCAACCAGAGCGAAGTAAGCCGCCCTTGCTGCTTGTTTGCCAAGTTCCCGTGCAACTACTCTTATGACGTAACATCCTTTGGCTAGTTTTTTTGTGAGTTGGTCTATATGAATATCAAATTTTAGATGTGTATCAATGTGAATGCCTAAGAGATCGACTCATTCATACCATAATTAGTATTATGGAATGGTACATAAAACAGGTCAGAACCTCTCACCCTTCTTTCTCCTGCTCTCAAAGAAACGAGACCCAAAAGATCCGGGCAGTCAATTAACCCTCTCAAAAGTCTGTAAAGAAAGGAAAGATCCGCCTGAAGTCTCCTGCTTTTCAAGGTATGAACATTCAAGATAGCCCCCATCTCATCAAAAGTATACTCATCATGAGCCAAGCCCAACCTGTAAGCAGCCACCCTTAGAAATCTATTCTGAACCCTTTCCTGAGCTGCAATGTGGGGTGACCAAACAACTGATGAGTATTCCAACAAGGATCGGACCATCGCACAGTACAATGTTCGCAATGTACTCACTGACATATCAGTAGTTGACCTACATATAAAGCCGAAACATCTAACAGCCCTTGATACAGTATTGGTAACATGGCCATTAAATGACATCTTGGAATCAAATTCCACACCCAAATCTCGAATGCTCGCTACTTCCCTGATTGATGTGTTATTAATTGTGTAAGGGAAATTCACCGACTGGGCCAACCTGGAAAAAGTTATCCTATAACATTGGGCGATATTGAAGTCCATTTCGTTCAAGCCACACCATTTATCAAAAGAATTGATATCATATTGCAGCAGTTGTGAGTCTTCCAATGATGATACCTGACGATAAAGTTTAAGGTCATCTGCAAATGACAAAAATGAGCTGTGGGCAACAGAACTACCCACATCAGATATGAACAGATTGAACAAGACTGGTCCACAGTGAGACCCCTGAGGAATTCCAGAAGGAACATCAAAGACCCGAGACACAACACCGCCATACCTTACTGCCTGTGTTCTCTCAACAAGAAAGTCATCAAACCAACTCAGAATTGAACCTCTCAGCCCCAAACAACCAAGCTCCCTAATGAGCAGGCGATGGTTAACCCTGTCAAAGGCTTTAGAGAAGTCTGAGTATACAGAATCGACTTGGAATCCCCTCTCCATGCTGTTCAAAATAAAATTCTGATACAAAACCAAATTTGTTGATGTTGACCTACCCACCGTAAACCCATGCTGTTCCGGATTTAAAAGGTACCTGCAGTCCCAGCTAAGTTTCCTGGTAATGAGACAATCTAGCAACTTAAGAATCTCAGACTGTGTGCAAACAGCCCTGTAATTCGTGACCTCTTCTCTTGACCCACTTTTAAATATTGGTTTCAGAAAGCTGAACTTCCACAAAACCGGGTAAGAACCTGTTGACAATGACAATTTAGACAATGGTCACGTTCACCAGCACTCAACATGTTGAGTGATTAGTGAACGGCTTTGTTGAAAACAAATGAAAATCAGCTCTAGACCAATCAAAACTGTTCTAGCTTGTGTATTCCACTTGTTGGAACAAAGCCGTTTACTAATCACTCAACATGTTGAGTACTGGTGAACGCGACCAAATGCCACAGCCCAACAACATGCCTCAGCTCACAGCCTACCTAACAACAGAACTAAGGGCTTGCGCATCGATCTCACTGTACGGAGTCGGGTTTAGAGTCATTGCAGAACAATAATTCCAAACTGCGTAGTGTGCGAACTGTCCTGATTGACCTTGACGCGCAATTCAAGCAAACAAAATGACGTCATTTACGAACGTAACGGACTAAAGTTAACGGAAGTCCAATGTAACGGAAGTTAAGAAAACCGTTAATATTTTTTAGGTTAACTTAAAAGTTAAATTCAAGCAATTGTTTTAAATTCGTTAATTAACGGATAACGGATTAACAGTTTTCTGCCCAGAAATGGAATTTTGTATCATATCTGTGTTCATTCTAATTTTTCTGATCTATTCATTAGTAATGTAAAATTCCCGAAACATTCAAAAGCCGCGAACATTCTTGAAAACTTTCCAAGAACATTGGAAACTTTCGGGAACCTATGGAAGTATTGTATTTTTTTAAAAAATTTATAGCTAAATGAGACAAGTCATATAGTAAGCTTTTTATTTACCTATTATTGTAGTGTACTGACTATAGACTATAAACCAAGAAAACCACCTATTTTTTTTTTCTGTAAGATCAGCTAAAAATTAAACTATGTAGTCAAAACACTTTTATGGATGGTTGAATAAGGCTTTAAAGGAAAAGCTAATCCGATTAATGCAATCTCTCAACTCTTTATTTTTTATTTGTCTTCAATGAGGATTATTTGAAAAAAAAGACAAACTGTAGTTATATCATATCAGCTGGTGATCGGGTAAATCAGATCAGTGTTTCCGTAAAGACAGTTGGACTAGGCTAAGTCGTCCACATAAATTGAAATGAAGTCGCTGAGACATTGTATTCGCAATAATCTCGCATTTTTATAAAATTCTTCTGGAAAGTTCTAGGAAATATTCTTTTGAGAGTTTTAGATTGAAAGTTTCTGGGAATATTCTCATCCAGGAGTTTCCATTTTTTATCGGCAAATATTCTCAGAAATTTTCTAATGTTCGCGAATATTCACATGGGAATATTCTCGACTCACATCACCACTATTGATAAAATTCAATGTACTCAGTGGAGACCACTACATTCTACAGACTAAAGCTGGATTTATAGTGTTAGTATCAGTAACAGTAACTTAAAACTTAAGAACAGATATGAAAATAACCATTTCTTAAGTTTTACTGATAAGTTTGGTAAGGGAACCATAAATGGCTTTAGGCTGGATTCATAGTTGCATAAGCATAATGGTATTGGTATCCGTATCCATGAGAACGTAAGAAATCAAATTCAATTCATAGTTAAACACAACGTAAAACGTAACACCCCAGGGGGTGAGAATCAGCTAAAAGCTGACTGTCCCTAGGATAATAAACGATGTGAGCCGAGTCCACCCGATTCCGTAGCGGTAACTTAAAAAATGGAATTGGACCATTTCTTTACGGCTACGTTATGCTTATTGCTTACAGTTACTGCTTATGTCTTATGTTGGACTGTGAATGGTGGTACTACTGGTACTGTTTAGCATTAGTTCATTTTCCTTACGGCTAATTCTCAAGGATACGGATACCGATACCGTTATACTTATGGAAATATGAATCCAACTACGGTCGGCCGTGTTTTCATATTTTACTGTACTGCTACTGACACTATAAATCCAGATTAAAAGCCTAATGAGTATTGAAATTATAACAATTTCTTATGCATTTACTGAACAGTTTCTGCTGAATATTAATCTTACTGGACTGTTATTTTTCTGAGCTGTTTTGAATTTTTATTTTCTCACAGAAATCACAAACTAGTCAGAACGTTTTTGATTGGTGCAAATCGCCAACAAAACTATTTTCAACCAATGAAATTCGCTCTGTGACTGGTTTGTGATTTCTGTGAGAACAGACCTGGAATAGGTTTTTTTTAATGCACAAATATTACCTGATTGTGTTTCCAGTCCTCATCCTCACCCATTGTGGAATCGGTCTGTTTTGTTTGAGTTTTTTCGCAAGCTTTCGCTTGATGATACAAGTCTTGTGGGCAGACCATAGAGAAATATAATACATAAAGGAGAGTGTCCGAATCATAGGGGCGAATTGGCACACTGTTTGAGCTTTTGCGCAAGGTAATTCGCGCATGGGGGCCAGAATCGGCAGAACTAAAATGGTAAATGACAATGGCCGCGACCATATGTTTTGTGTTTTAGTCAAACTATTAATAAATTAATAAATAAAAACTAAAAATTTAAACGAAAAATCACGTGATTGAAAACGCTCTCTGATTGGCTGAAGCCGATTTTGATGTTTTTTTTTGCCACATGTAGAAATGCGAAATTTAAATGAGTTGATAAGGATTATACCTATCCTTTATTTTTTAATAATGTAGTACTTAGAGGATGAAAATAGTTTCTAGCTAGTTGCATGCAGAAACAATGCCCAAATTACAGAAAATATATATATTTCGTTTAGAAGCAACCCAAACGCAAATGGTATTTCCAATATTTATATAAAGTATAGACTATATTTTTGTAATTTGATTGAGGGTAATTTTTTTTTTCTAAAATAATCGTCATATAAGAGATCAAGGAAAATCAGTATTTTGTTGGAAATATTTTTGATGAATTTAAAATGAGTATATTATGAGTGAGAGTGAAATCAAATTTATATTTTTTCAGGGAAGCTTAATTAAATTTGTTTTTAAAAAAAATAATCAACTATACATCCATAATCATTCAATTAATGTATAATGTTTAAAACAATAATTAAAATAATACAGTACAGAAAAACATTCCGTCACATTATCAAGAAAAAGCAATACATTTATTCAAATGGAACAAACTTGAGCCAAAGTGATTTGACTAACAAGTATGAGTTTGCCAGTCGTTGATTAAGCTAGGGTCGCACTCATCAGGTATTTGCAAAGAGAAGTTATCCATGGGCATTTGGAAAGTATCATAGTCTGAAAGTTCTGATTCAATGTGAACACTTTGATTGTGGCCCAACTTTTAGGCAGCCAAACTTTCATAGCAGTTTCTACCCCACTTTTTCTATCAAGCCATTTTTACCACAACAAAATGTGTCCAGATGGAAAAACGATTTATTTCGGTTTCCACATAAATCACAAACTACTATAGTTTGCAGACTTGACTTTGCAGTTTTTGTATAAATCTTGAATTCACCATCTGTTTATGGACACTACATAGAAATAATTGGGATGTTCATTTATACTGCTTTTCTTGCTTTAAGCAGATCGGCCTCTCACTTGTCCCATATACAGAGTTACCATTTAAGACGAAACAGGATAAATATCTGATGTTACTTTTTTTTTTAATCGCTCCTACACGTAATTTGATTATGTGAGAATTTGAAACATTTTCAGCACTCACTTAACCCTCTAGGGGGGTTGGGACCAACCCTTACAATTCCCAATGGAACAAGCAATCGAGTGATACCTGTTTTGGAAGAGCGTTCAATTTTCTTTTAAATGATATGAAATGAAAGAGAATTGAACGCCCTTTTAAAACAGGTATCACTCGACCCCTTGTTCCATTTTAAATTGTAAGGGTAGGTCCCACCCCGCCTAGAGGGTTGAAGTTGAAGTGCTAAAAATGGTTGCAGAAAAATTTCCTCTTTAAAAATCAAATTACATGTACAGGGTGGGCCAATTTGGACACTTCCTTATGGAAATACCCTTTATTTTTAGAGATATAAAAAAATCAACCCACCACTCTGAGGGTCAAATTTACGGTATTCAATACTGGGATTTATACGAGAATTGATAAATTTAATCTTTTATAAAATTATTCCTTACATTATATTTATTATAACATTAATACAAATACGTTTGTAGTGAAAATATGAGTATACAGGGACAATGTTTATTTTTCATTTGTATTAAAATATGACCTTAGAAATAAAAGTCCGTCAATCGACCTATCATTAAGGCTTGACCGAATCTTCGAGAATAATATACCGGTAGCAGAAAATGCACGCTCGGACTCAACACTTGTTGGGGGAATAGATAGTAAATACTCATAAGAGAGCTGTAGATTTTGTCCTCGGATACCTTGTTTCTCAAATAACTGAACTTCCTCATCTAGGGTTGTTTCTAAATCTGATGGATCCTCTTGAACTTTAGGTCGAAACGCACTCATCTTTTCGACGATAGTTTTTTGAAGAGCTACTTCAAGGGGCGACTGTGATTCCTGTGCCGGAGTACTTACATGTACATCAGTACCGGAGATGTTTTTCTCTTGCAGTTGTGCAAGCGGTATGTGGTCTTCATCCTCATCCTCCACAATAGTGATCGAAATAGAACCACTAAGTCTCTCAATCAGCTTTTTAATTGTGTTTTTGACTGCATCTCTACCAGGCAAAGAAAAAAAATCTGGATAATCATGCTGATCTTGGGGATTGTGGAGATAGGAGAACATCAGACAAAATAGTCCGACGTTGCTGAATGCGCTGTTTCAATGCAATTTGGATCTCCTTGCTTAAATCTGTTTCAACATGAGAAAGTTGCTTCAAAGTGAACATTATTGTGACATCTGCTGTGATAAGATTGGCATCTCTCTGACAGAGAGCATCCACTGCCAATTTCACCGGTTCCAAAACTCTGACGACATCATTGATAAAATTGTAGGAACTGTCCGAGAGTGTTGTGGTGCAGTTTAGATCTATCAAAGACTTTTTCACACAGTCTTTCAGATAAATGAAACGCTTAAGCATATTATATAAACTGCTCCATCTAGTCCGACAATCTAAGATGAGCATGTGTTCTTTGCCATACATTTCTTTGACATATTTTTGAAGAATACTGTTTTTTGTTGCTGATAGTCTAAATAATTTAACCAGTCTTCGAACCTCTTTGATATAATCACCAAGGTTATAATTTTCCCTCAAATCACATTCAGTTTCTTCATTTGCATCTTCAAAGATCAAGTCACCGTCACCATCCCCGCAATCGTCATCATCCGAGATGTCAACGCCAACTTCACTTTGCTCTTCCTTTTGATGATGTTCAAGCTTCTTCTTATATAAAACATCTATTACAGCTAGCTGAATACCATGCGCAAAGCATAATTGTTGAAATGGACTGATCAGTTTGCCAACTTTTGTCATTAGGCTAGCCCCATCTGTAGTTATGCAAACAATGTCATTTTGTAAGGACAAATCATACAGCTTCAAGCGAGCCTTCGACCAGTTTGACGCAGGCATCGGCAGGCATTGATCCAAAAATACGTGGCAGTCCCAAATTCCAGAATATGCCCTTCTGACTGTGAAGATTTATGTTCATATAGCGTTTGTTAGAGACCGAGTTCCACTCATCAAATGTAAGAGAAAAACGCCTACTCTCAGTTTTAGCTGTTGCTATTTGGGAACGAATAAAATTCTTCACTTTTTCGCAGTATTGAAAAACCTTATTGCGTATGGTAGTCGCCGAGGTAGGCACAGTTAAGCCTTTTGCCTTCAGAGCATCCCGCAAATCTTCAGATGTTACAAAAACTCGAAACGGAATACCATCTTTTGCCGTCATTCGGGCCAGCACAGCTTCAAGCGATGCATCTTTTTTTGAAAGAAAAAAATCTGTCAACTTTTGTTGTTTATTAGGAGTAGGACTTGCGATTGATTCATTAGTTCGTTCCAAAGCCCGTTTTCCTTGTTGAGTTGAAGTTGATGGTTTATTGATATCTTGAAGTCTAATCTGATGCTTACTAGCCAAGTGGACATGCAAACCTCTGGTAGATCCACCTTTGGTTTTTAAAATAGCTTTACACTCTTTGCATAGAGCCGCTTCAGCGTTTGTTTCTTTTAAGAAATAGTTCCACACTGACTTCGAACAATGGGCCTTTTTTTCGTTTACACGAAAATCACGAAATGTGCTCTTGTGAGTCTTGTCCGCGTCTTTTTCCATGTTGTTTTTTCTATAAGTTCAACACATCATGCAGCTAAGCTAACGTCACATTAAGAAATAGAACCTACCTAATAATAGGTAAATGTAGTGACAACATAACTTAAACAACCAAACACAGTTTACGGATGCAGTACTGCCAATGCCAACTGCACCACCCTAAAACCCTTATAATAATTGTTTTTCAAATCAACTTGTCGCCACATGCCTGGCGAGTGGCGCCATGCGCACTCCGGCTGACGAACGCCACTGCGACTCGCTGCTCTCCGAGTCTGCGAAGCTGACGAAACAACCCCGAAAATATCGATAATACCGGTATTATTAAATTCAAACATTAATCCCGAAAATTCCGGTATTGAAAAGAGAATACCGGGATTGGAATACCGGGCTAAAAACTCCGGGATCCCGTGATACCGATCTTTCGGTATCCCGGTATTGGATGCCCTAGATGTACTCTGTAATCCGGATTTCACTTGATTCAGTAATCCGAATTTCTTTATATATGACTCTTGAAAATAAAAGCACACGTTTTCACTTGTCGTTTTGTAACTGCTTTCAAGTGGATAGGTAGTTTTTACATGTCTATTCGCATCATTCAATACACAGCAGCGTCCTTCCTGACGGTGTGGGCTTTTCAATGAAAATGGAACAACTTGTTCCAAACAGTGCAGAAAAATGTAGAAGAAGGTGGACAAAATTCAAATGGTGAAAATATAGTATATTGTGTATTTAGGTGGAAAAGTGACGCATTCTCGGCCGATGGTGTAAGTTGACGGGCGAGGCGTACACCGAAGGCCGAGAATGTGCTTTTCCACCGAAATACACATATTATTTTTTCTGCGATCGGTTAAATACCTATTAAATGTTTGTCTTTAAGTTCCAATTATTCAGCAATACGAGAAACACTTTTTCCCGTATAGTTATTCATTGATTCCTTAGCAACTATTGAAACATAATTGGAATACCAGAATATTGAGTTTTGCGACCTGTCAACTGGTCAAAAAGGCTGACATTTCTTGTCAATCGCAGAAAAAAGCTTTTTTTGCTTAAATACAGCATGTTATGTTTTCAAAATAGTTTTTAAAGTGGAATGTAAAATGCCTTAGTAATCCGAATAATTTGATAATCCGGATTGATCTGGTTTTAATTGATCCGGATTATCGCGACACTACTGTACCCCTATCGAACTTTATATCATTAAAATCAGAAAAATCATAGCTTTGCAATGAGCTATTAATATAAAGGGTG